GAAATCACCTCTTTTGATGTACTGAATAGCCTATCAGTTTACATATTTTGAAAAGTTGAGCACTAAGCTCGGTGCCGATGTAAACCTTTTGGAACATGGTTAAGTGTATCATGCCGATGTAAGCATTGCGACACTCGGTCTAGCTGATACCCCGTAATATATCCAAACCCCACGTATGGTTTGGTTGGGGTTGAAGCCCGTCAAACGTCACTTCAGCTAACATGATTTGACGGGTCCCGATAATTACCGAACACTCATTCAAACAACTCGGTTGGGGCCATTCCATAATCGGACTCTGACGAAGTCCGGTGACTTTCATTTTGTTTCCCGTACAGCCCTAAAAATGTGTTGAGTTCTGCGAAGTTATTTGAAAACTCGCATAATCGACTCACACTTGTGGCTGAGATTCTTATAAACGATCAAAGTGGAATTCGGAAGTTATTTTTATAAAATCTTACAACTCGGATCATGATTTAAGTAATTCCGAGTTAAAGCAGTTTATTTTCTATTTCTAATGAAAACCGAATTCAGAACACTTGGTCGAAAATCGCTGAAATTTGTACAGCAAAACACACAATCAAACTCAAGCATATGCAAACACTTCATATATAAATATATTTCGAAAAGTTTGGGGAATCCCATACATATTTCCTACTAAGGGAGTCGGCTATCCGACATCCCCGGTTACACACCATAAACTTTTTAAATATTTTCTACTAAGGATGCCGACATGCCGGCACCCCGATTACCTTATGCAAATCAATAAGTAAAGAAAACGACAAGAACAAAACGCAGAAAATCAATTCTAGACCTCCTCGGTTGGTTTCTCCACATTCTCTCCGGTGCCACTACTTTCACCGACTTCAATCCCGGAAGATAGTCGCTCCAGGACCTGCGATTCCTTCATTTTGGCAACAGCCTCAATAGCCCCATCTGGCACCGGAATAAGATCATCACGAGGGTCGGTCAGCTTCTCAACGCCATCTTCAGCCGGCGTGACAACCTTCACCACTTCGACATCCTTCTCGGCCGACTTTGCCTTCTCCTCGAGGTATGCTTTAACCCGGCTCTGGATTTGTTCAGGAGTCATATCATCAAAGTGCTGCTCAACCTCCACCTCGGCCAACGTTGAGAGGAACACATCGGCCAACTCCTTCCTCTTTTCCTTCTCCTCTTCCAAGATCATGTTGACGTAAGCACGTCGGAGAAGAGCAGCCCTATCTTCGGAAAGTGGTGGCAAATCTGGGTTTGCATTCATTTCTTCTGAACGGCGGAGCATCCACACACAGAATTCCCGTTCGTCTTCATCAGCCACCATGTGCATCCCCTTAATCTCCGAGTCAAATCCGTACTTCTCCAATTTGTGGAAGAGGAACAAGCGAAGGTCATCGATATCATAATAACCGGCGTCGTAGCGCTCAATGATCCACCTCAAGTTCAAACATGTGTTCATTTCAATCTCGAGGTCGGGACCACCGGCTTCATCCTCTTCACCGGCCTCATCAGCATCCACCTCGGCATTGTCCCCGGACTTCGGCTCCATGATAACCGAATCTTTCCCGGCCTGAAATCCGTTCTCATACATGAACTCTCCATAAGTAGATTTCTCCCTCTCAAGTTTGGCTATGTCGGCTTGATGAGCGTCGTGCTGCCGACCCACAAGTTCGCGAGTCTCGGCACACTCTCTACGAGCTGCTTCATGATTAGCCTTTTCCTCCGACAAGGCCTTCTCGGTTTCCATCAGCTTGACTTCGGAAGTTTTGAAGTGCTGCTCCACCACGGCCAAACGCGCTTTAAGATCTGCCATTTCGGCCTCATAGGCCTTCTTCTCATCTGACAAAGTTATGGTCTCAGCTTTTGCTTTCTCTAGCTCGGCAACCTTCTCAGAAATTTGGCCCTTCAAGTTGGCCTCCATTTTTGCTGATTCCTCCTTCAATTGAACAATCACCATGTCGCGCGCAGCCAAAACATCCTTTTTCCCTTCCAGTTGAGATGCGA